TCCACATAAGCATGAGCATCATTAAAATGAAGAAGATAAGGAACATAACCATAACACATGAAATACCATACCAAGACATGATCATAAACTAATAAGCATATTCATGAACACAAGAACATAAAACACCCATGCAAAACTAAATTTTTAGATTCAATACCATTTAAAGATTAAAATCAAAAGGGCTATTTCAGATATTTCCTGAACCTAGCCTTCGTATGGTTTGTGGAGATTTCAATCTAGTTTTCAGAACATGTTTCGGAAATGTGATAGCTTTTCTAGATTTTTAGTTGTCCAGATTTTTAGTTGTCCAGATTCGTCGACCATTACGAAAATTTGATTTTCTTACAAACCACTCACTATTTTTCAATGAAACCAATTTTAGTTGAAAGCTAACTTCTTAAGGAATATTTTGACGAAAAATTGAGGTCCAGAATAATTTTCTACATTTTTCTAGAAATTTGAAAGTTGGCTGTGAAAATAGATTTTTAAGGCACAATGCCCAAAACAAGAAGATTTGTGAGAAAGGGATCCACTAAGGAAAATTTTTCATTTCTTTTGTGATGAAAACATGCTAAATAATATATATTAAACTCAGAAAATTATCTTAAAGTTGTGCCTTTGGAAAGTTTGAGAGATTGGTATGAAAAAGATAGTTTTGTACCGAAATGAGGGGAACTACAAGAGGCGTAGAATCATGGCTCAACTCTTATCATTTTTAACACAAGGAAATCATTAATAATACATCTGAAAACAATGGGTGGAACCCTTAAGAACATGCATTTGAAAAAGGAAAATAAAAGAGAGAGTTGTGTTGTGGCTTACTTGCTAGGCTAGGCCAAGTTGAACAAGATTGCTCTCCTCTTTCTTCTTCTCCCTCTCAAGACTTTTCTCTTGCTCTCCTTTCTCTCCTCTAGGCCAAATGTAGGTGTGTGTGTGTTGTTTGTGTATGCTATGCTAAGTGGGTGGTTGTATATATAGGCAAATTTGGTGTGAAAAGACACAAAGGCCCACTAGTTGGAATTGGTTGAAAAGTTTGGATTTACTTGGAGTCTAATGAAATAGGGAGTGATTAGGGAACTTAATCGTATGATTAGACAATATTTAGTTGGCCTCTAGTTGGAATGGAACTAGTGTTGGGAACACAACCCTTGTACTTGGTACTTTGCTTCTAGAATGTCATAATTACAAGTCTTGAAAATTTGTCCCTCACACTTTCCTAGGTTGGCAGACCATGGGGAAGAGAAATGTGGAATATTTTATTCAATTTTTAAATACTATGGACATATTTCCAATGTATATAGATAGATCCACAAATTGATTTGATGGTATTATAGTATAAAAAGTACATGTACTAGTTTGGGGCAAATCTTGAAAAAGAAGTGAGGACTTGGAATTAAACTCATGTATTGGAACCTTATTTATGTATTTAATTATGATCTAGTTAGGTTTAGGGTTAATTTAAATACCTTCTAGCTAGAAGTACACTCATAGTAAATCTTTATAGGTACCAAGGTTATCATTGCTCCAAGATTTCAAGGGATTTGTTTGTACTAAAGTACAATAATTATAGCCTATGAGATATGAAGTCTAGCCATGTGCTCAAGATTTGGAGAGATTTTCCTATTTATTTTGTGTGCAGATTCCATAGATATTGTGTACAAATAGATTTGATGAATAAGAGGTATAAATATATATATATATATATATACAATGGTACTAACTTGGGGTCAATTTGTGATTTAAGTAAAATATGAGGGCTAAGGCCTTAATTTTGGAACATTTATTTTAGAATAGAATTTAACTAAGTTAGGGTTAGAGAATCTTAATCGGTTTGAATTTCTTGCTTCGAACAAAAACACGATGAACCGACGAATGTGATAAAGAACGGAAAAAAACCTAGGGTTTTCAAGTGGTAATTTCATATTTAGGGAGTCAATTAGAGTATTTGAAATTATTTCCAAGTTTCTGAAATCGATTAAGGTTTGCGGGTTTTCAGTTGGTGCATGTATTTTGATCCTAGGGTTAAAATTGTAATTAATTAAGAAGTTGAGCGATTTCAAATAAATAATTTAAAAGTAAGGGACCTAATAGGGTTTACAAAAGTTAGGAGTCTCACAGATAGGGTCCATGATTTTGTGTTAGGAGATTGGGAAACATAAGGGGGCATGGTGGTTTGTGATGGGCTAGGGGCATAGTTGATAAGGATACTACATGAGGTTAGTCAGTTAGGAGATTTAGTGTTTGTTATGATATTGTATTCAATATATACTGATTTTAATGATTTTGTTATTCAATGCATGGCCCGAGCTATCCTATGCTGTCAACCAAGCTTGCCAATTCGTACATTCCCTTACTGTGGGACAGTTTGCAATTGTCAAGCGAATACTAAGATATGTTTAGGCTACTTTAGCTCATGTTCTATTTTTCCAATCTAGCAATTTTCTTTTACAAGCTTTTAGTGATTCAAATTGGGTTGGTGATCAAACTGACAGAAGATTGGCCTCTGGGTATTGCATTTACCTTTCTTGGTCATCAAATAAACAATCTACAGTTTCAAGATCCTCTACAAAAGCAGAATATAGGTCTTTGGCCAATACATCAGCTGAGTTAACTTGGAAACATTTGTTGCTTGTTGATTTCTGCATTCCTCAAACTTCTACTCCCATATTGTGGTGTGATAGTCTCTCCTCCATGTCTCTAGTTGCTAATCTAGTTTTTCACAACAGATCCAAACACACAGAGGTTGATTGTCACTTTGTAAGAGAGAAGGTGGCTACTCATAAAATACTCCTCAAGTATGTTCCCACTTCAGATCAACTGGTTGACATTTTCACAAAGTCTTTATCCACCTCCAGATTTTCTTACCTCACTCACAAGCTCATGGTCTCAGCCTCTGCTATGTGCTTGAGGGGGAATGATAAGGATACTACATCAGCTAGTGGTGAGTCACACCTTAAAGCATGATGCACTGCATCATAGATGCGTATGACTCACACTAGAATTGGTTAGAGGAGTGGTTAGTTGGTTAGGGGGTTAGACAGTTAGGAGATTAGTGTTTTCTATGATATTGTATTCAATATATACCAGTTGTAAAGGTTTTGTTTTTCAAAGAGATAGATTAAGAGTTTCATGAATAGTCTCGTGGTGTTCTTGGTTCAATCAATAATTTTCATATTGATGACCTAAGCAACGACATGTGAGGTGGTCATTCTCATGAACTTTTTAGAGGGAGTTATTGCCATGAAATTGAACATTAAATTAAATTGAAAATTAAATTATGTATGGAACAAAGTCCATATATAGTTATAAGTTCATAATCATGATGACAAATACAAGAAAGACAATAAACAAATATAAGTGAAAAAGGAATCTAAGTAAGAGAGAGTTGAACTTTTGATCTTTGAATGCCGGTTTGAACTTTAAATTAGTTACATAGACTCGTTGATTAGTTAAATTCCTTTCAAGTAGTGAGAGAAATTTGATTCTGATTAATAAAAAAAAAGGCAATCAAAACTATATGCCATTGATTTTTCCTATATATAATGTGATCAAATTAAAACTACTTGTTTAAAATTTGTTTTGATCTAACAATGAGATTGTTCCAATTTAGAAGTGGCAAAAAAGCAAGTTTGGATGGGTTAGAATAGGTTATGCATTTGAAACAATCAAACCCAAACCTATCCAATTAATAAATAGATTTAAGTAGGTTGGGTTGAATTCGATATGAACTAGACAAATGAACCCAATTAATTCATTTACGCCATCAACTTTTCCTAATATGACCTCGGTAGCGTTGGACTAGCGACGATGGTAGTGGTGGTGGTAGAGTGGCAAAAGCAGCGTTAGTAGTGAAGTGGCAACGATGGTGGCAGTGGTGTTGGTGGAGCGGTAGTGGTAGTGGAATGGTGATGGTGGTAGTGATGGTGGAATGGAATCGATGGTGGTAGTGGTAGTGGTAGTGGAGTGGCAGCAACATGAATGGTAGTGGTAGATGAGAAGTGGCAGCGATAGCGAGAGTGGTGGTGGAGTGTCGGTGGTAGTGCGGAGGTGGTGGAGATAGAGTGACGATGGTAACGAAGAGGTGACGGCGATGGTGGTAGTGGAGTGGTGGGGGGCAACGGTGACTTAAAAACATGGACGGACTATTTTGCAAAATATATTTGCCATTTGTTTTATTTTTAAAAACAATTGTAACACAAACATATGAAGATTGATATATAATCTATTGTGGGAGGAGACTCTTAAAACTACTTAGGGTTGTTCAAAACACTTTCAGAGAGAAACTTACGTAAACACTTCACTCAGTAATTTTGTGACAAAATACAGAAAACAAACACATAGGAGAAAGCTTCTCTTTCTCTCAAGCTCTCACCTTTCTTTTTCTACCTCCCACACTTGGAACAGTTAAACACATTACATATTTATAGCTAAATCTAATAATGTGAACACATATTGTGAACAGTGGAAACTAAACACAAGAATACGAATTTATTTTGAATTCTTCAACCTCCAAAGGGAATACTGCATGGCTGCCATTTTCAACACCTAGTTCAATCACTGCAAATTCCTTAAAACCAAGCAACATCTCCAACGGTAGTAGGCATTTTACCTATCTAAATATTACTATAAAGTATATATTTTATTTTGCCTATCAACTGTTTTATGTTTTTACTCCAACCATGCTCTTTATTTTAGCTATTTATCCAAATATTATTAATTTTATAGAATGCCACATCAACAACAAAGATAGAGGGAAATGATCCTAATGATTGAATACATTTTGCCTAGCGTTGAAGGCTAGCTACATGTAGCTAGTGAATATGAGTTGAGCCAAAATGCCTAATCATATGCCTAGTGCATTGGAATTGAAAAAAATAAATCACACTAGGCATTTTAACTAACAAGTATTATATACCTAGTGCATTGGAGATGCTTAACCCAATTCTAAAACTTTTTTAAGAGTCCCAAATGGGGCCAAAAGCAGGAATTCCTTCAGATTTTCAAGCATTGACAACATCTCTGCTCCCTTCTGGATTACTTGTAACAATAACCACTTCAGCCTTCCAGTTCCTCGCGGTGTTGACGCTCATCTGAGACACATTGGGACGGCCAAGCACTGCGGTGTCATGAACAATCACTTTCTCTTTCGGGTACCCACTCACCCAATCTTTAATTTCTTTTCCAAAGTTCTGCTCAATCCCTTTCGCAACCCAAATCAAGCAAACATTAGCTGTACAAGGCTGCAACAGAAATGACAAGAAGACGCAGATACCCCAGCTAGTTGTCACTAGCAAAACTCGATCGTACACGTTGACAAGGTATGGGAGACCAGCAAAGTGAACCTGTCTAACCCACAAATGGCTCGGTGGGTTCGAAACCAATGACTTTGTGAAGTCCCCAACTGCACCAGCCAACATAATGTGTTCTTTCTTATTGTCCGAAATGATACCAAATGCGTGCCGTTCAGATAACGGTGATGGGCTGATACGGCCCAATACACCCTCTTTGACACCACCTTGGAACTTGATTATGGAGGCGTGGGTAGAAGGAGCCGAGACCTTAACTGCGACACGCCTCACTGTCAGCCATGGGAGAATTATTAGCAGTGTGATGGCTACTGTGAACCAGAATTCTTGTTGTTTTATCAATCTAGATCCCAGTTGGTTGCTATAGGATTTGGTTTTTGGATCGTAAGAGATAGTAAGGATTATTAAAGCCCAGAGGAGAGCTAGAGCAGTCCATCCAGCGAAACGATGAGTCCTTTCGAAGACGTTGTGGTGGAGATGGCGGACGAGAGGGAATGCTGCTAAGGCAGAGAAGGCGAGAAGAGAGAGAATCGTCGATGCAACCCATACAATTCCAGTAGAACTGTTTTCTCTGTCTTTGAGAGTGAGGACTAAAGCGTTTACAAGCCAAGCAATGGAGGAAACACCACAGCTACTATGTATCCCTCCTAGCACTACAAGAAATGTCACTTTTGGCTACCAAAATATTGGTCGCCAAAAGTCACATATTTAGTCGCCGAAACGATTTAGCGACCATAATATTTTGTCGCTAAGCTTGTCGCCTTTACCCTGCCGGCGATAGTATTGGCGACTAAAATTTTTTTAGTCGCCGAAAGTGACCACCTTTGGCTACTAACTTGTGTTTAGTCGGCAAAAGGTATGTTTTCCGCCACTAATGTATTAGTCGCCGAATGACTACATTTGGCTACTAACTTCTTTTTAGTCGGCAAAAGGTATCACTTTTAGCTACTAAATTATTAGTCGCCGAAAGTACACATTTGGCTACTAGCTTGTATTTAGTCAGCAAAAGGTATGTTTCCACCACTAAAAAATTAGTCACTAAAAGTGCTACCATAATTTGAGAATAACTATTATAGACCAAAATATTTGGTGGCCAAATAATTTGAGAATAACTATTACGTATTTGGCTACCAAAATATTTGGTAGCCAAATACTTTAACGTGTTTTTTTTTTTTAATAAAATTTTCTATAAACAACCTGTACAAATTAATCCATCACTAAATCTATTATTAATACAACCTGTACCCTGTATAAACAATATAATCCATCAACGGTAAATATGTTATCAAGCATTCAACAACGTGCACACATTTCAGTTCCAACCATCCAAAAAATTAATATTAAACGTCCACTTATATATATATTACAAATTTCATAAGAACCATGTCTAATCCCACGTCAAGAATTTAATTCCATACATAATACTGGAATAACGAAATTAATTGTACACCTATAACTTCTGTACCACAACAAAAATTATATTCTATACTGCCACAAAACTATTTTGTACCACGTGCTATGTAAATTTCTAACATGCCCACTTAGCTGATATTTACCACACCAAAAAAGTAATTTGTACAAAACACTATATATACGGATACAGATATAAAAACAATGCCCTCCCGTAATTGTCAAAAAAACATATCCACATTTGTATGTCCAAAAACATCTGCAAAAAAAGGGAAAAAAATCATTAGTTGAACGAGGAGAAGTAATATCATTACTAATGCAAAGACATCCAACATGGACCCATAATAAGGCGGCAACAACAACATGCGTGCACACACACAAGTGATACCTGAGAGTTCTCAGAGATCCACACACCTACACACCCTTAATCAACTAGAACAAAGTGTACAAGACCTCTTCATCAATAAGTTCAATTATGTCAGCATTTCTGATTCAATGAGTCGCACAGAACAATTTTAATTCATTGCATAAGAAAACAATTTTAGAAAAAAAGTACATTGAAAACTTTCCAAGAAACAGTAGTGGGAGGGGAAAAAATAAGTAAAATAAAACAATTTCACATTTTCAAAAGTATGTGGATCCATCAAAAGGGAGAATGAAAAAAAACCGAGAATGTATGAAAAAAGAATGCAACAAAGGTACACGCTCGAGCGTCAACTTTCCCGCTCGAGCGTACTGTAAAAGTACTGGAAAGAAAAGAAAAGAGAACCAATAACAGCAGCATTCTTGATCATCTGACCTTTTCATTTTACCAGATATCAAAATGGAAACCAAGAGTAAAATGAGTTTTTGAAACTTCTAAATATTTCAATTTCCCAGATTCCCAGCTGGAAAGAGGGTAATAAAATTGAGTTTTTAAAACAAAAATAAACCATAAGATTTTTCCCTAATTTAAATTATCAAGCAAAATAAACACCCCAGCAAAACCAAATAATTTTCATATAAGTTCTCATCCAAGAGCTCAGGTCAATATATAAATCTTTGAATGAGAATATAATGCAAGTATAAGCTCTTTCACATTGCATAAGAAGAAATATTTCTCTTATGCAATAAATGGTTGAGTTAAAAACAAAAGTTTCCTGGTTAAAAGGCATATGGGCCCAGTTATATTATAATGCCTAGAAAATCAAAGACCAAACATGGCATATGCAATCAAAGTCATAATCAAACAAACATGTCAGAATATATATATCCTCATTCTCGATCGAGAAGTCACCATATTTTGAGATATCAAGCTGAAAACCACACTCACAAATCCGTAGGTAATAGATTTCTTTATCAAGTACAATTTCAATATCAGCTAATAACTGAGCTGTATGCAACCATTCACATGAAACCATTACGCCCTCAATTAAGATAAAAACCCATAGGATATATATATATATATACATGTTCTAGAGATGCTCACACCACAACAACAGATATTAATACATCAGAGAAGATTAATAAAGCACACTGTTAAGTAAGTTCAATCTAATTAAGTAAACACCTAGTTTGTTATTAATAATAACATCAATAACTCCCAAGGTTAGTAGCTGACTCTAAAGCAGTACTTTGAAAGCCACCTGCAGCATTGATTCAAGGCATGTCCCAACCACCAAGGAAAACCACAGTGCATGGGTGAAGGGAACTACATAGGGCTTGGTTTCTTTTTCTGTGTTTTTTTTATTTTTATTTACTTTTAGTTTTTAACCTATGGAGAAAGGAAGGGAGAATCAAATTCCACACCGAGCTCATCATTGAGACTAGAACTTCACAAATCACAACTTTTACACGACTAAAGAACTGTGCCTTCTACCAGGTGTGGTATGAAAACAAAGAAATACCCTCTAGTACAAGATTTGGTAACTATGGTTCAGGGCAGTGGTTAAAAGGCCATCTTAAGGCTGATTGTAATAAGTTTATGTTGTTACGTTGGTTGGTGAAAATACACGAAGCTGTAGGATTTGCTTTGGTGTATAAACTAGGTAAAGCTTTACAGCTTAGTAGCACAAGGCCATGAGTTTGGGGTTGTTCTTCATCAACATAGCAGTCGTAGGACAAATGGAGAGATTGACTAGTCTTGTTCAATTTTTATTGTGGGAAATTAAGGACATTAAGAAGCTTAAAGAAGTGCAGAAAATAAAGAGCCAAGAGTTAAGGGCAGTTCATGAACACAGTAGTCATTGGACAACCGAAGAGAACAATTAGGCTTCTTCAATCGGGTTTGTTGGCTTAAAGAAATTCAGAAATTTAATAAAATAAACATATATCAATATATAAAACTCACCCAGCAGCAAATTAACCAAAAAAGAGAATGAAATAATACTCTAGTAACACCTCAGCTGATATGTATCCCTATAATGTCACCCACATTTCTTCTTTTGAATACTCCAAAAAAGGCCAAAAGCAAAGTTGCATACAAGTATTAGTTATTATGTTCCCATTATTGATGTTGGAAAATACTTATTGAGGTACTTCAGGCAAATACATACAGAATAAACATGTGAAATGACCATTTGGCTGGAGACGACAAAAAATATTATTACTTCTATACAAAAGTACAATTTCTTCTCCATACACAAAAATATCTCTGCAAGTCCACGCAACGAAGTTATCTCCAAAAAACAAAAAAAAAATATTAGAATTGGACCCAAAAATACACAAAACCATCGGTGCTTATTAATGTATGTCAATGCCATTTCAGAGAGGATATTAGAACATGTGATAAAAATAATAACACACATGTGTACGTTCACAAAATTAGCAAGTTTAAAACATTCTGT